ATACAAATATGCATCATCATTTATCCTGATTTTTTTTTTTGTGAAATGTACGTCTTTTTAGTCTCAAAACCACATGTTGTGGTCTTTCTTTTATATATTGCATTCTGATATTTTGTGAAAAATCTGTATGGTATGGAGGAAAATGAATATCATTTTCGGATTCAGTGTACAGGAATTACTGTAGAACATGTATACATTACAAGGCAATACTCTGCCTAAACAATCTGTCAAAGAATACCCCTAATGTTTCTCTGACAGAGTATTGAAAAACAGTTGTATGTTTAAGATATTAATACTTGAAAATGATATGAGAAAATAATTTCTATTTTTTTCTTATTTTCAGTCTGGCAGAGAGACAAGCAGAGCTAGAAACTGAAATGGAGAAGGTCAAGAAAGATGCCAGTAAGTTAAAACATTAGATTCATGTCTAAATACAATGCCTCATCTTTCTATGGTTATTGGGTGTTCTATATACCAATCATTCTGAACATTAAACAGTATAGAACAAATATAGGGAAGGGTATTTTTTTATGAAGCTGTTTGATTTTAAAACTAAAATCTGATTAATATGTTTTAGTTTTTGGAATTTAATGATACTTTCAAAACTGTAAGAAGCTAATGGATAATTAATTGTGATGGTATGTTATGTTATCCAGACACCTAAAGTATTTTGGGTTATTAGTGACGAATAAAATACTACATCACATTACTTACATTTCACCACTTTTCGCATTTTGATGAGGAAATTAAATTAACAAATAAATAACCAGTTAGTCCACTGAGTAGTAATGGCTAATTAATTGTGATGGTAGGTTATCCAAACACCTAAAGTATTTTAAATTATTAATGTTGCATAGAGGACTACACATCTAAATAAAAAAGATTGGTATAAAAAACTGTTACAAAGGAATTTGGCTGCAAAACCTTTAGTATAAAATGTAATGTCTCTCTAATCTAATCACATTATACTGGCCATTTCTCATTTGCATTAACTCTCCATATATGTGTTTACAGGTGTGGTCTTTGAATGACCTTGTAACCACCATGACACTATACATTCTATAACTTTGTATGTAGAAGTATATATTCACAAAATTTTTCAAGCCTTTGGTAAACATTTTCGGTTTGTTTATCACAAAAAATTAGATTTTTTAAAGTATTTTTATTAAATATTTGGCTGTGAATTTATGAAGTCAGTATGATTACTTGTATGAGTGTGAGGTACTTTTCGTGTCAAGAATAAGAATACATTTTTCATCTTAGAATCTTCATATTTAATTTGCATATTATCTAGCAGCTCCTTAATGAATACCAACTTTTTTTTATTAAAGCTTTAAATTTAACTGTTATTTTTCCTAACATTAACTAGTGAAATCAACAATGTAAATTAAAAAATACAAACTAAATGTAAATTACGTTTTTCCTTTCCTTCTAAAATGACTACATATTGTAACAGACAATTACATATTATTTATTCTTATAACTAAAGCTAATGTTTTTCAAATCTCAGGACCATTTAGATTCATTGCTTTACAATTGCATTTAGAGTACGACTAAATTCATTTATCACAGTGAAACAACTTTGTGTAAACAAAGGATCAAGTTATCAGTACATATATAGACTAATCAAAATTACGCTTCTCATGTCACCTCAAAATATGTGCATACTATTACAAGTTTTGTTTGATTATTCAGTAAAGTTTTATTATCCAACATAAGTTTTAATTTTTATTTTTTATACCTTAGTTACTTTTATAATGGTCAATAAAAAACTGTACACTAAAAAATAAGAAGTTCAGTACTTATATGTGGGGTCTCAAAGTCTTGAAAAACCTTAATCCTACTTTTTGGTAGGTTTATTAGTGGTACATAAAATGATTTGTATTTATTACAAATATACAGTGTGGAACAAAAAAATATTAACATGCACAAAAAGTATAATCTCCTAAAACTACTATAATTTAACTAGCTTGCTAACTAAGCTTTAAGTAGGTTAAGATAGTTCCATTAGATGGTCAAGGTGATCTTGGTGATAGCAACAATGAAACTGTGGCCGAATAATTCAAAAACTATCATCAGCATGAGCTCGTCTTATAGAAAATTCAGTAAATTTACATATTCTCTTTCTGTTGGCTATTAATCAATTAACAGTAAATATCAGAGAATTATTAACATTTTTTTGGAAGACAACATGTAATTGGAAGGCATTGTATGTGGGTTTGACTTTCTTGTTTATACCTCAGTAAAGCAAAGTTTAAATTATGGCATAGCAGTATATCTATACTATTAATGTAACTTTTGACAAACTCAGAAGATCATATGATCTTTCCCCGCTGATTTTTCCAAGCCAGTTCCCTTGGCTGTGGTTTCGCTAGATAGTAGATAGGGACAGTGGGAATCTCGTAAATCCATTCATGCTCGTCACTAATTAGATGACGAGGCATTTGGCTACCTTAAGAGAGTCATAGAAAAAAAAAAAAAAAAATAGGCTATTTGGAACAAAGAGGTGTCACATGATACAGAGAATTGAAGATTGAGAATTTATTTAAATATTTCCACTTGAAATTACAAATAATTAAAACTTATGTAGTATTAAAATTTTGATTATATACTACATTTTGATGCCAAATTTATTGACATCAATAATAAAGTTGTTTAATTAAATTTTGAATTTAAAAAGGTTGTGACGTGCACTTTGACCCCTTCCCATGCTCAGAAAGTTATTAAGAATTAGTAACTGCAATAGCAAATAAAGTCCAGATACTTCAAACGTAAGGAAACATGATAAACATTGAATATTTTTAAAACTAAATTTTGGTACATTTACAATGAAATTAAAAACCACAACACAACTGATTGTATACTATGCTATTATGCAAAATGCATATAATAGTTGACCTGAAAACAGGTTTCACACATGCTTATTAAAGATATTACACTCACATGCCTAATAACATTATGCACTAATCCTCATTTTGTTTAAAGAAATTTTCTAATGAATATCTTTGTCACTTAAAGTGACGTACATAATTTCTACCATGTACCAACTAATCTATAAGCTCATTCAGGGGCAAACTTCACACTAAGACTTCATAGTTTCAAATTCAAGTGGAACTTTTTGCAAAGTGAGAAGTAACTGCCAAAGTAGTCACTTCAACCAAAATTAACAAGCATGGTAACTACTAAGATTAGTTTACTACTATTATGTGGCATACAAATTTACAAAACCGTGATGTAGCAAGTTTATTTCAAGGCATACAATCAAGAATGGCTTCTGACATAACTAAAAGTTTAGAAATTTACAATCCAAATAAGGAAAAAAAAATAGAGCTATGTGGCAAAAAGATCGCAAGAAAGAAAAATAGTCCCAACTTTGAGATATGATTTTTTAGCTTGGAAGTCGTAAAATAAAAAATGAGATAATTGGTTATCACAGTTTTGGACACAAACTTAAAAAGTTCACTGTTTTTAAACTGTTGGAGCTAGACATAAGCAAGAAACATGTTCAAATACCATGGATCAGCAGCAGGATGTTTAAATATTTCTATTCCTCAATTAAAAATTCTGTTTATTAACTTTTAGAGCAACTTCTTACAAAAAGACAGGAGATGGGTGCCTCACTTAAGACTAGAACTGATCGTGCATCAAGTATGTCTGAAATAGAGTTAAATGAACTACGGGCAGATATTAAGGTAAGACTAGTTAATATTATGTTATAGGCACTCAAAGGTTTGACAGTTTCTAGTGAATGTCTTTATGAAAGCTTGTTCTAATGTTTAAAGATTGTTTCAAATTATTATTTGTTAGGTAGTCATAATGAAATGACAAAATAATGATTAAAGTTAAGTAACACAAAATGCAGTTGCTGTTTTGTGGTCAAATAATTTTCTCAAAATTGAGGTGTGGAAGGAGTTTGAAACATTATCTTACAGTTCTGTAAGTAATTTGTATATATATATATATATGTATGTGTGTGTGTGCGTGCGTGCGTGTATCCACAGTTACGTATGTTTCATAGTAATATTAGTGAAATCTTACTTAAATCCATCAAAAAAATTGACAGTGTTTTAATGTTAAATGATATAATTATTTCTCATACCAAACACGTCAGACATTTGATATGCATAAGTTTGAAAAAGATGTTGATAAATAACAGGTTATTGATAATAGAGAATTGTTTATTTAACTATTTAAATTAATGTAAAGCAAGTTTTTTTAGATAATTTTTTTATTTTTGCTATTGTCTCTAAAAATCTTTGCTTAATAGCACTTTGTAGTGGAGAGAAAATATGATGAAGATTTGGGAAAGACTCTGAGATTTGTTTGGGACAGGGATAGAATTTTAGAGGTAATGCATTTTTTTAATTATATATGTTAATATTTCATAACTCATTAAAATGTTGTTTATTGATTATTATTGTTATGTTTATTGTGTTCAAGCAGTGTAAGTAAAAGAACTTACTGTTTATTGTATAGAAACTATATTTGTTTGATACAAGTGGATTTTGACCAAGAATATTGTTAACAAAAATATTATTACGTAGATTGACAAAGTTAATTAAGACATAGGGTGATCAGGTCCAAACACCAACACACCACATGTCATCTCTTGGAAATCCTAAAGATACATACCAGGTGTTGTGTCAGTCCAGTGGTTCACCAGTTATAAGCAGACTTGCATATAAATAACATACACACACACAGTCTTTTGTCAAATAACGGTTTAGATAGATAGATGAACCCAAACTTACACTGTTTTTCCTCATCTCAATTGAAAATATGTATTGGTAGTAATTAAATTTACTTTATTACTGAGCCAGGTGTAAATATGTACACGTGTATATAGTAAAAAAAAAAAAACTTGTAAAAGTTTCATAAATTAAAATATGAATATTGCTTTAATATTTCACATTGATCATATTGTATTATGTAAAGTATTTTTAGGTATAAAGAAAAATGACAGTTTGCTTTAAGGTCATATGCTAATTAATCACTGTAACAGTGATGAAGTTTTTCCACTTTTGGTAGATTTCTGTTAATTTCTGATAAACTGGGATATATGAGTTTTTATGGTTCATTGGAAGTTTTTTGTGTAATGCATCACTGAAAGCTCTAGACTAAATGAACAGAAACTGGGTTATGCATAACAGTAAGGTAATGTTGTTTCAACATCTTAAATCATCTTTCTAGTAAGAAACATTCAATGTAAGGACTGAATATGTAATATTCTTTATGTAAGTACTGATTCCTTGTTATAAAAATGATGTAAAATGGTTATTAAAATGTGCCCATGGAATCTGTTTAGTTATAGTTAATGTAGTTTTTAAGTTAGTCTTTCTGAAGTCATTTGTGTACTTTAACCAAAGCTTTCTTCATATTATTTTTTAGGATCATTATAGTTACCCTTTATTAACACAATTGTGTTAAACTGTTAATGTCATTTATCATTTACAGCAAGAATAACTTACACATTGCATTTTAATTTTGATTGATTAAAAAAAATTAGCCAGCACATATGATTGTGAGAAAGGGAAAAATCTACTGGATTCTATGTGTAGAGGGCCTAGAGAATTAACTGATATTACAGTTAGCAAAGTTTAAGGTAATAATCTGTAAATACTATTCTCATCTACTTTCACGTAAGAAATATTCTCACCAGCTGCACAGATCTCTTTATTTAATAAAACAATGTATGTGTACTACTGTATACTTATTGAAATGCAGATAATATTTGGACTACATTTTCCAGCTGAATTCATCTTTCTGTTCTCATTTTACTTGAGTGCCACAAAAATACATTTTCTGAATGAAATCCAACATGATTGAATAGCAGTTTAATTTCTTTTTTGATAATGTGTATTGGAGAAATGATTGTATAATATTATTATTCATTGAAACATATAGTGTGAGAGAAGCATAGCCTACCCAATGATCACTTCCAATGTTCATTGCAGGATTTCTCTTCAGTTTAGGTGTTTTATGCAATATTTACACACCACAGAGCACCATTTTGCAAAGCAGCTAACTATATGATGCAGGATGTGAATTCCAAATGCAAAACTCATATTTGTTGAAGTTAAAATACTAATAATTTTGTTTATTAAGTTCAAAAATTCAAAAAATGAAAATAGTCTTACAACATAATGTACTGTGATGAATGTCAATTTATTCAGAAGAATGTGTGGTACTCGGGTACATTGATATCCACTAGGAAGTTAAAAGTACCCAAAGAATGCATATACAGGAGGTATATTGCAGAAAATGATTTCAAGCATGGACACCAAAGGAAAAAATAAATAAAATATTTTTCACTGAAGCTTCTCTGTTTCGAATAATGACTGACTGTACTGGCTGCTCAGATAAAGAGGAGATTCCTAAGATCCATTACACAGGACAAGAACAGAGTGAATTGTACCATTCTTTCAAATCTGGTATCCTATGTTCCAAAGCTATATACATCACTGACTATTCCAAATAGCAGAAAGGGAGAAGTAAAAAAAACTGGTGCCACCAATTTGTACAAGAATATGTCAACCCCTTGAGATTATTTATTATTGTACATTAATACTGTACTACTAGATTTTGTGCATGCATTTGTGCTGGGGTAAGAATTACTCGAAATATGTCATTTAATTTGATGGTATTAGTTGAAATGAGTATTGCACTGTTACGAGAATTGACCATATCAGAAGAGTGCTGATGTCAAACAACCAGTTAAGTGGGATACAACATATGATCTCTTATGTGAAACTGTTAGTTATTTCACACCACTCCATTTATACAGATGGTATATTAAACAGGGAATAAAATTGCCCATTCTGAACTATGTCTTATTTATAACAATATCATAAGTTACTGGTTACAAAAGATGTAGTGTAATTATGTAATATATAAGTTTTTGATAATACATTTGTATTCCTTTAAATGTAAAGAATGAGTATTATTGAATTTGTTTTGTATCAGTTTTTATTGTGCTATTTTTAAAATAGATCATAAACAGAACAGTGTGGGTTGGGCATGGCCTCCTAGTAAATACACTTAGACTTTGAATCCCAGGGTTCATGGTTCAAGTCCCATTGGGGAAATAAATGTGCTGTACACTTTGGAACTTTGACTGTTCTATATGAATGATGGTGAAACAAGGATAAACCAAGAATTAATAGTGGGTGCTACCTTTTCTCCAATTTATCTGTTCAAAGTTAGGGATGGTTATGCCCAGATAGCCCTTTGTGTAGCTTTGCATGAAATTTTTGACACAAATAAACAAACAAGAACGACAGTGAGTCTTAAGTAGCTTTTCATTTAACCAAATTAGGTGTTTGTTTACATGTAATAAATTTTGTTATAAGCTATAAGTATTAAAACATTATGGGTATTGAAGTTGTAAGTCACTATCTATGTCATTAGATTAAATAAAAGCAACTATGACAGTCATTTTTACAGATTCAAAATACAATTCTTGGTTACTATGTAATTAAGATATTTTTTTATTAAGTAATAAATTTTAAATATATGTAAATATATGATGTAAAAATTGCATGTAGAATTTGAATTACAAAGAAAAGAAATTAAAAGTGTTCTTTTTTTTTCTCCCAAAGTGGGTTTTGTAAGTGTGCTTGCTGTGTGTACTGTATTTTAGTTTTATGAAGGATTCAGCATAGAGCCTAAAATGTGATCCCAAACCAAAAGGTAGGAGAAGTGAATAAAAAGTACAGTCGACATGTTCCTGTTATTGTGAAATCAAGTAGTTAATGAAGATGAATATTAAAAGTAGTATTAGTCTACAATAATGGAATAAATTTGAAGGAAATTAATGCAACATTTCCTTTTTCTGATAGGAGATCAAGAAATTTGGAGAAAGTGAGTATTTCCTTCATATTGTTTATTTACTTATCTGATTGTGAAAATGATAAGCCTGACACAGACTGATGAATGCTATAGTATTTTTCATGTCACTTTTAAGAGTGTTTGTATTGGTTTCACATAGTACATGTATCAGATTTCATTGTTTTTGTTCTTATTAATAAGTGTTCAGTACATTTAAATCACTATTTGAACAAAACATGTACAAAGTTTTTCTAAAAAGTTGTTTTTTTGTTGTTGTTTTTCAATATGACCTTGAGCATTTTAGAAAAGACGGTAACATTAAAAATAAGAAAAACAATGGGTACATGTCAGTTACAGCAGGTGTTGTAGTATGCTATTATATATCTTTACATGTGTAAGTACTACTTTCCTGTACTTTACAGTTTTACTAGTCATATTTTAACTATTTGTGAACTTTAACCATAGGTAATTTATAAATTGGAAACACATGTTAAACAGATATCACAACTAATTCAAAGTATTTTAAAAGTAACTTCTCCAAACTAAACTTGAATAGGTTTATAGAAAATGATCACTTTAATAACCACTCAACATTAATCATACTAAGTTTAGATGAAAGTTACGTTAAATGCAGTTGAAGGTACTTCAGGACACTATGTTAATGATATAAATTCATTAGTAACTCAGTGTGTACTCTGGGCATGTAATATTTTTTCACCACAGATTTATTGTGTGTTAGTTTTTTTTTTCCATATACAGTAACTAATGATACCTGTTTGTCTGATGTCTTCATTGAGTCTGAGTAATTTATCTTGTCCACTATAACTCCAGCATTATATATATGGCTGTTTATTGTTTTTGTTTTGTGAATTTGTACCTCTCAAGTAAAAGATCCCATCTAGTGTTATAAAGTCCAGAATTATATAATTTTTATCAACTACGAAACGACAGACCTCAAGTACCAGTGTTGTTAGTTTATGTTCAAGACCAACGTGTTTGTTGACTTTTTTTTATTTCATTATCACCTGATGATAATGGGGTACTAGTTCGTTTACTTTCAGCAGTTACAGTAATTGTTAGTTAATTTCACTTGTAGTTTAATGTTATCTTTTTATATGATCTTAAACTATGAAACTGAGACAGTAGACTTTTAAGTAATACAAACTTCAAAAGTTTTGCAATATTTCAATGATCTTTATTTAGTAGCATTTTCCATTATGTGAAATTGCAATGCTTAAAAGATGTATTTCATTTCATCCTTCTGTCAAAATGATTTGTAATATGTAGTTACATTTTTCAATTTTGTATAGCTTGTTAATATCGACCTTCAATTTTGTCTGTTTAGATAACAGATATTAGTTCTATATTTTAAAACTCCTATTGGCTCAGTAATGAGCATCAGGGTTTGTTTTATATAAAATTTGAGGTTAGTCCCTACAAAGATACACAGGTTGACCACTTTGTACTAAAATAAGAAACAACTACAAATCAGTTGTGGCAATATGGACAATAACATGTTGAAGCTTCAAAATCATTTCAGTATAACATAATCAACATCATGCTCTATCTAATAACTGTAAATCTTGACATTAGCTCTGCAGCATAGTTTCTATTGAAAAAGTCTGTTATAAGACTCTCATGTTCAAAGCACACTACTCTTCTTTGCAAGCTTTACAAAGCCCATCCAGTGTTCTAGGATGCCAATTTCCCAGCACTTGTTACAGTGATTCAGACAACTCAACTGATTTGTCTTCATATGAATAGCATGAATACCTTTTTCATTCTCTAGCTGCTTGTGACAGTTGAGAGAGAGGTATGACTGAAAGTTTTATCTTATTGAACCTGTAACCTTTTGGCCATATTTCCAGAGATCCTTCTTGATTATGTTGCAGGGCAAGTGGACAGATTTTCCCATTGACATTTATTTTTGTGGATCCTAACACGTTACAAAATGTTACACTTTACTAACTATGGCTGGGGTATAACTTGTTGCAAATTTCCACATTCCTTTGTTTTCCAATTTTATTAAGTAACGAAAGATATCCCCATCTTGGAAATTCTAGATACACCTATATGGTCAGAGCATATGAATATTTTTCATCAGAAAGGACTATTACACACCATTTTCAAATGCAATAAATTTTGGAGGCATCACACTACCTACAAAACTCCAAACACTGTCAAAATGCAGTTTTAATACATGCCATTCCACCAAAATTATATTGACTGTGGTTGTCACTTGACCTGCTGATTTGAACGTACAAAGATTTTTTACATAATATACTCAACCTTATATATATGTTGTTTAAATTATAAACTTCAGTTACTAGTCTTCATCTCCTTTCTTATTAGTTCATCATGTTAAGAACCTGTATGGACATCGAAGACATTCGCTATCTTCTGCAACTAGTTCAATAGCAGCTGAAAACAACCTGCAAGAAGATGCTGCTGGGGTGTCTGGGGTACTTTCTTCAGATAATGGTATTTATATTACATGACTACAATAGTTTCAAGGCAGGAAGGAGTATGTTTGCTAACTTTACTATATTAATTGCAGGTGTCACTGTCTTGTGTAGGAAAAAAATGATTACCTTTTTATTTACCGATATATATTAGTCATTCGGTATTACTTATATTTCTTAGTATGTGATACAAAAAAATTAAAAAGAAAATTGCAAGAAAATATGAAATTTAGTTACTTTGTTTATAATGGCAAAATACAACAGACTGTCTTCAATCATAATTACAACCTCTTTAATAATTTACTTCAGAATATAATCTCTCTCTCTCTCTCTACTTTCCTGGTTTCTAAAGGTACAAAAGATTGGTTATCAAACAAAGAAAGATCTGCTTGAACTAAACTATAAAAGTATTGCTATCTAGAGCAGAGTCAGAAAATCTAACAAGTTGTGAAGGAAAAATTTGCATAATTAGAGGCTCAAAATTAAAACGCTAATGAACTTGTTTCCATTTTTTAAGAAACAATGACTTGTCTGAATGTTTGTCTTTTTTTACTGTAAGTATATTTCTATTTCATGTTGAGACAAATTCCTCTCATAGTGGTTTTATTTTCTGGAGTTCTAGTATTGTACTCCAAAGAAATTTAAAACCAACTTAATGTTAATTAACCAACATTAATCTTCTTGACCTATTATATATTTAAATTACACGTGCAGTATCTTCCTAAATAAAACACTATAGACTTGCAACAAGGTAAAAAAACAGGAACTAAAAAATTTAAGAATTGGATTTTTTATCATGAGGCTATTAAAATACTTTTAGTGATCAGTGTTTCAACATTTGCCCGTCTCTGCTACCGTAAACCTAAAGTTATTCTTTGATCAATAATTTTAGAAAATGGTATTACTTTAACCACTAATACTGGAACTTCTGTATTCCCACTGAAGATGATATGAAAGTAATATTTACAAACCGCAACAATTTTGTAGCATAAGAAACTAAGACTTTAATAATTATTTTAAGATTGTTGCACGTTAAAATACTTTCTCATGTGTCTGAAATCTTTCTCTCTAGGTTCAGCTTGTGCAGCATCTAATAAAGATACCCCGGTGACAGTCCAAAGTGTGGTAATAATAAATTATCCTTTTTTACTATGTTTCTTGGGCAGTGTCTTCTTTCACAATTTAAGGTATTGTTTTGTTAGAGTAAAATGAGAGAAACTGGATTTTTTGTGCAAGTTCGTATATATATTCACTATAGCAGTGTTTCCCGTCCATCAAGCCGTGTAAAGTAGTATCATAAATATATGACAAATATTTAAGTTACTTCAGTAAAATAAACAAATGTGATGCATTTTAATAGTATATTTGATAAAATAGCATGAAGTGAGAGATACGGTTACACCAAGTGGATATAGCAGTAATGCATCATTCCTCACTGAGATAAATTATGTAAAGTTAAGCAATGATATGTAAATACTTTTTATTTAAGCATATTGTAAATGACAAATTTCTCCTAATAGATATTCCCCCTTCAGTTTTTTTTACTCTTTTAAGTCTGCTGGTTTATGATGAAGATTTTGAGCAGACAATATAATTAAGTACTTAGCCTTAATCTAAAATAAAACATTAAAGACCACTGCAATAAAGAAAATAATATTCTTAATATATACATCATCAGTTTTTGTTTTTAAACAATAATATTTAAGTTAATAACGTTTTTCACATACACAGGCTTTCTTATGTGGTGGTGAATAACCAAATCTGGGGTAATGTAATAGCCTATAAACACACACACACACACACGGTATATACCCATTATGCTTAATGCTAAATGATATTGAATAATGTGAGAGAGACTTAATCACTTGGACAGTGAGATTTGGATAATGATAACTTGCATGAATAGTAATTTTAAAGATCCCTATTTTGAGGGTTAAAAATATAGTTCTATACACATTCTACCATAAAGTTTGAATTGTATATGTATTTATTTCATTGTTTAATGTAACAATTTTTTTCTTCACAGCCTCCAGTTCACTATTTGAAAGAGGGTAGACCTCGAATATTTTCTAATACGGAACGGCGTTTTGGTTACCAGAGTGATAATTATCATTCTTATGGGAGTGGGAGAGGTAGGGTAAATTTCTCGAGTCGAGGTCGTGGTCAGCAAAATAGACAAGACAACCGAACCTCTGGAGGGCTTCCTCAACGAGGTAATTACAATGGGCCTTTAAGAACTGAAGGCCGATCTTTCGCTTCTCAACAACCTCGTGGCAGAAGATCACCTCGTAGAGACAGGTTTCCAAGATCTCAACAGCATTTTGCATTTCAATCTGAAAAGCAACTTACTGATGATCCTAGGGGTGAAAACCTGGGTAATGGAAAGCCAAATCCAGCTGATGGGTCTGAATTGATTAATGGAATAATGGAACATTAGTACTAACTATGTTAACCCATGCTTCTTCCCATGGTACACAAATTTTGGTGTAATTGATGTTATTTCTGTCTCTTTTTATTTTTCTTTCTTTTTAGTTTCTTTGGTTTTGCTCTTCAGTTTAGTCATAATTATTCTTTAATTACTTATTGGTATGTGCAAATAGATTTATAATCTGACTACTTGGCAGAAGTTTTAATATTAATATATATATATTTGGTATAATTAAGCACTTTTAAAATACTCTGACAAACTGGTAAAGAAACAAGACCCCAGTATGGTTGCTATAGTATTTGCATCTTCAGTTGTTGTTTTTTAATAGTTTTTTTTATTGTTATCATCAGAGCACCCACGATATGCTTGTAGGGAATATGCTACTCTCACATATACATGTATACATCATTAATTCATAGACTTACCTTTTCAGTTGACCCAAGTATTCTGCTTTTATTTGTGAAATGTCAGTGAATTGGGGCTGAAGCTCATTGTGCGTCATTACACATGTTGGATAAAACCATCATTTACTATTACAATGTTTATCAGCATTTCTTATTTTGAATTAAAAAACCATCAGTATAGGATAAAATTTGATCAAACATTTACTGAAAAATGGAACACAGGTTTCGTTCTAAATAGTTGTTAATCAGTGATTAATGCCATTGAAAAGTCCATTATTTTTGGTATTAAAAACAGTTCAATCATGGAGTTGCAAACATATAATTTAAAGTGTAGCTATTTGAAAAGTTTTATCTTTTTGGGTAATTTACCATGTTAGAAGCATTGGAATCACTATATCTTGAGTGTGATGTGTTAACTAAATTTATTTGCAAAGGATTGAATTTACCTGCTTAACTAGGCATACGTATCGAGTAGTTACTTATTTAATAAGTAGTCAATAAACTATTACTAACTTATAAACTTCCTGTCAGAAATGTATACTTAATAGATATTCAGGCAAATGTTTTGGAAATTAATTTTAAAAAAGTTGCAGTTTCGTTTCTTTCAGCAGGTAAATATTGTGTAACTCATTGAGCTATCAATTATGTAAAGCATTTAGATGTTGTTATAGGGTGTATTTTGCTTAATGAGTTGCACTTTTCATATTATATGCAAAACTCCATCCAAAAAAGTTTATTATATATATTTTTATTTCCTCCTACTCATTACATTCCTAAAATCTCTCATTCAGAACAATGCACTTTTGGAAATGAAGGCAAAATTCTTTTCCTTCATCACTTAAGATAAATTTCATAATCTGATGTTAATTATCTTTCAGAGAAAAAAAAAACTTACTTACAGAAAAATATTTAAAGTATGAATAACTTGTAACCTGAAATGAAATAGTGTAATTCAACTGTTGTAAACAGCTGAACCCCAATTTTTCATCAGACATAAGCATATTAAGGGTGCATTTTGTATAATGTTGGATTTTAAGATGAAGTTATTGCTGTGAAAAAAGTGTTCAATCACGTATGCAAAGAATTATGAAAGGTAATGTTTCCCAAGTAGGCATGTGATGTTTTTGTATTGATTCTTTTGAAATATTTGTACTTGAAATAATAGTTAAGGAAAAATAGATGGATAACCATATTACTCTTTAAAAATTTAATTTTTGTTATTTTTTCTAGACTTTTTTTTTCACATCATTGTGAAGCAGTTTTCCTTGACATCAGCTGAACAGTATAAGCAAAACATCATACACTTTTAGGGCTACAGGAAATTATTCAAACCATAAGCGTAATTCCACACTTGTAATACACTTATACTGTTTAGTGAAAGCTTTTCAGCTATTACTATGTTCTCAGTCAACTAACAGTATTTTTTAGTAATTATTTCAGAAAAAATAAAGAAAATCACCCCTTAATGTAGGAGTTTGAAAATGTAGAGTGTTATTGTAACTGATGAAACATTTATATATATACACACATCAACACGCTGTTTTCTTATCCCATGAAGCTGAAATGCCAATAAGCTACTCGGAACATCTCATTTATGAAATCACATCAATACTTTTTTGAGCTTTAATAGCATTATAGTTTTCAACATGATACAGAATGGTCAATTATATCATTTACTCAACACAAGTTTCCCCGAGATTTTTTTTTATAATTGTTCATAATCTTTCTTTTTCTTTTTTTTTTGTAAGTTGTTACTAAGCTTGTGCCTCATCGCTATCATTTCATTAATTGTAGTTCAGTAATCTGGCTATGTTTCTGGAAGTATCTCTAAATTTGTTATTCTATGAAGTATAGATAGCTATATGTTATTTATTGTCACTTGAGCAGAAGATTACTGTGAAGTGAAGCAAAGCTAAACAATTTAAAGTTAAGAAATTTTCAATATTGCTACAAGAGTTATGATTGTCTTGGTATGAGAATTTTAGTTTACTTTCATACACTTTAAAAGTTAAACTTCCATAAAATATTTACAGATAAAATTATATAAGTGTATTTTAGAATTGCTGAGTTGAAACTTTAATCCAAAACTACGTATTCATTCCTAAACTGAAAATTTTCTTGTTATTAATTGTTAAAGTAGGATTGTAACCACCTTGGTAAAATGAAACTAACCCTAAAAAGCATATACAGTGTGGTTGTTGCACAATGAATCAATGCAAATTGCTATTTGTTCCTTTTGTTATAGGCACGAAACTTTGTTGTTGTTTTTTAAGAAAACTCAACACTTTTAATTAATAATGATTTTCATTTTAAAGGCTACAAAATTTTGATAGGAATACAAAAAAAAGTCCAACATATGTGTCAATAATTTTTTTAAATGCTTTCCTTTTTATATTAACTGATTGTAAACTTGTTTGGAAATACTTCCTTGTGCTCAGTGCTCCTGAAATGTCAAGTAAAACAGGTATTATTGGCAAAACCTTTTGTTTAGTATGATTTAGATAAAATATTTGATTCAAATTGTATATTAAATAATGATTATTGAGGTTCAAAAACCTTACAAAACAGACTTTTTAGAGCTCCCATGTTTGGTGGTTGTTATATGCCCCAGTACCTACTTATAATGACATATTTTATTTTTTGTAACATTAAATTCTTAAAATTATAATATATATATATATATATATATGGTATACTTAGTTTCTTTATCAATTTTTTTAATTATTTTGTTAAAGCAAAAGACATTACAAATCATCTTGTTAATTTTGAAAAACGTTTTTGTCACAACCAATTATTACTTTTGTATTCTTTTTGGCATTTATAAGATATGAACAGTATCACCATGATACTAATTTAGGTTGTTGATTAATTTGATAGTTTTATTTATAATTATTTTGTAACTTGATTTATAATGATTTAATTTTGCATGAATACAGGCAGCCTACTGTTAATTCTAGACAAATGATAAAGAACACACTACAGTTTCTACTTCAAATAATTATTGCAAAGCTCAAGTGAGGAAATACAAAATTTGATTTTTACAATTATTTTTGTTGAGAAGGTGTATAACAAAAAGTATCAATTGAATCATATATATTTCTAGTTGTCTAAAGCTCTCAGCTTGCTAAAATTTGCCATCGAATTATAATAGCAGTTTGTAATTTTAAATGTAGTTAATCAGTTTAAGTTAAATACATATTTTTTTTAATGTTGTATATATATACAGCCAATTTTTTTTAATTAGCTTATTTTTAATTTGGTCTTTCAGTAGAATATTTAAACCTTTTAAAAGCTTTACTGATTTCTTTAATTAAATTTTGACAGTCATAATTATTTGTTTCATGATCAGTTTAACTTTTTTTTTCATACAGGAGTGTATTACAAGCTTTTTCAAGTTTATTTAGTAATTGATCTTATAAGCCAAGAGTTTATTGTAAAACACATCACTACTTTATGATTACAAAAAATTACATTTTATAAGTTTAAATTACAAAAACAATAAAAAAATATTTCAGAGATGATTATTTAATAATACTGAGCAATAATTTGAATGATTCCAACCACAAATATAAAATGTGGTACACACACACACACACACACACACACACACACACACACACACACACACAACAACAAACGAACCATATACAACTGTGTAAGTAGACTAAAACGTAACTCTCTAAGTAAAGTAATTACAACGAGGTA